TTAATTGTGCCCATGTGGGAATCGAACCTGAGGCTTCGCAGTTGTGACGCTTTAACCACAGGACTACCCTACCGCACTGGTAGATTCATAAGAGTCTTGTAATATAGGAGAATAATGCGTCATAATTAGTCTGTTTGCAGTGAAAACGTACTGATGAATTTCACTGTAAACAAAAAAGTAAATGAAATTATGTGAAATTAAGATTGCGAATCCTCATACTTTTACCTTGCCAATTGAACATTTAAATCTCAGCATTTTATTCAACTTAAAAAAAGTTATTTTAAAAAAGATCATAGATTCAAATCGCTATTATTGGTTTGTATTAAAGGGGGTAAGCGCAGTAGATGGAGCAGTGAAACAAATGCACGTGCGGTACGTGATGAGTGTTAACTTAGACCAAGCTTACTTGTTCTCGGTGTTTCATTTAATGTACATACCCCCTTGTAATACAAACCTATAATAGCGATTTGAAACTATGATCGTTTGTCAAACAACTTTTATCCTAAGTTGAATAAAATGCTGAGATTTATATGTTCAATTGGCAAGGTGAAATTACGAGGATTCGAAATCTTAATTTCACTTTAATCGATTTACTTTTTTGTGCAAAGTGAAATTCATCGGTACGTTTTCACTGCAAACAGGAGAACTATAATCATAATTACACTGCAAACAGACTATAATCATAATTACAGATATATTTATTGTGCCATGGGCATGAGGACAGCAACGCAATGACGCACGGTGTTTCGTACACTTTACAGTGTTGTTCTCTGATAATCTTTGGAAAATTCATAAATTTTAGTTCGAACTAAGGCGTTTAGCTGTTCGAGGAATTATTTTTGACTATAGAAACGCGAAAAGTGCTATCTGAGTAATGGTTAAATTGTACCTTTGCTGTTGAAAACACGCACACGATCACAGGTGGTGTCTCATGTTGAAAGGAAAAATGGATATTTTACAGAACCTTCATTCAATTCTTGCTTTCCCACGCTCGAGTGTTTCAGTGTGCACGCCCATTTGAGGGAATCTATTTCATCGTGTCAATGTCAATACACGTGTTTACATATGACGGCGTTCAAAGTTGAATTACTGAAACTGTATTTCATAAGCATGACGTTAAAAACTTTAATGTTAACAGTATTTTGTCCACGGTGTATTCTCGAAGATAGCAATACTTTCACTTCACGATTAAATAAGTATAAATACGTACGTGCTGATATTAACATACTATTCATCATTTTCAATTGGCGTTTGTAGATTTATGGTTGATAATCGCCTTGAGAAGATCGCAGGGAACTTGTCTTCTGTCTATTGTAATAGTAGACTAATGCAGTAGTCGGCTTATTCCCCGAGGCGCAGTGATATCGCAGGTGTCGATCTGAGCTGTGTAACCGATATCCCGCCGCAAAAAAAGAACAAAAAGTAGTGCAACATAACGACCGATAAGGATTAACAGAAATTTGAGAAGATTTTGTTATTTTATTGTCAATAGAAATTAGGTAGATAATTTGACATTTGTGAACAATAAATAAAGTCATGTATTTCATGGTCAACCATGATCGCATACTGTCATAGTCATGTGAAACAGTGAAACTAAAAATCCAGTTTTAAGTTTAGATTAATTTGTATATGCTCGCCGTGATGTCCTGACAAATTATTATTATTTTTTTAATTATTTTTTTTAGTTATTTATTTACTTATTTATTTATTTATTATAATTGTTTTTAATTTTTAATTATTTTATTTTTATTTTGGGGTGGGGGTGGGGGTGGGGTGGGGGTTGTCAGATATTCAAACCTGGTGGAGACGGTGGGTTAGTCTAGTGGTTAAAGCCTTCCACCCAGGTTCGATTCCCCACCTGGCTACAATGTGTGAAGCCCATTTCTGGTGTTCCCCGCCGCGATATTGCTGGAATATTGCTAAAAGCGGCATTCAACCATACTCACTCACTCACTCAAACCTGGTGCAGATAATAACTACTGGTTGATTGTTTGTTAAGTGTGAAACACAAAAACACCCATTCTGCTAAGTTTTACTGTCTTCCATCCAGTCACTATCCAACACATATACTTCCATTGGAACCTAGCGATACACAGTTTAGTCATGCTTAATTAAGGCAGAGTAGGATCCATGGTGTATTGCCCTTTTTCAGTTTAGAACAGTGTAATTCGCGATACGACTAAATTTAGACAATATTTGAATTTAATCATGTACTGAGATAAAATTTGGATAATACAATTCCGGTTAGGGACCGTTCATAATTTATAGCTAGGGGGGTGATGATGATTTTAAGGTTGGGTCACCCATTTTGTTCTGGGGAGGTAGGGGGTGTCATCAATTTGTACACGTTCCTAGGGGTGGGGTGGGGTGGGGGGGTGGGTCCCCAGCAATTTTGTACATAAACATATTTTAAAATTATGTATTTAAAATATGGTAGGGGGTCATTGACTTTGTACATGACATGCAGGTGGGGGTTCACTTACTTTGTACATAAATTTCAGGGGTGTCATTCACATTATACATGCTTCTCCATAAAAATCATCATCACCCCCCTAGCCATAAATTATGAACGAGTCACGATATGGCTGAAATATTGCCGATGTGACTTTAAATCTTAACTCACTCACTCACATATGTTCTCGTCACGATATGGCTGAAATATTGCCGATATGACGTTAAATAATAACTCACTCACTCACTTAATTATGAACGGTCGATTAACATACTTGTAACTCACACGAAGTGTCTCTTGGTGAAATGTTTTTGATATTTTACAAAACTTTATTCACTTTTTGCTTTCCCACGCTCGAGTGTCTCAGTGTGCACGCCTATTTGCTGGAATCTATTTCATCATGTCAAAGTCAATACACGTGTATACATATGACGGCATTCAAAGTTGAACCACTGAAGCCATATTTCATAAACATGGGTTAGAAGCTTTAATCTTAACGACAATACACCCACAATGTATTTATAGCGGTGTTCTCGACACGTATAAATTTAGACAATATTTGAATTTATTCATGTACTGGGAGAAACGTTTTATACCAAATCTCCAGTTAACATACTTGTAAAGATACGTTGGAAGCTTAAGCTAAATCGCAGTTGCTTGCCTTTCTCAAAGTAATCAAATACAAAGATAACAATTCAATCATTATCAAAATTTGTTTTATTCTTAGGGACCCGCAATTTTCCCGCAGTTTTGCCGTTTTCCAAATATCCGTGCACATTTCATCTGTGTTTTGTACAGCTCTAAACGTATATTTCCCCCAAACAATTGATAACACAGTTATCTTAAATCACAGGCAAACTGTAGCGCAAATATGATTGCGCAACAAAGTGAAAATGACCAGTCTTCCTATATGCGAGCGAAAACGATACAAGAACCTGAATCGAAACGCCGTGCTCTAGTATTAAAGAAGTTGTTTTCCATACATACTTGTTCTATCTGACTTCTAAAATGCCACTCAAAGAAGTCATTTTTAGTTTGCCTGTGGTTATATTTTCACAGACAAGCTTTAACAGTTCTAAACAGTTTCCTATGTACCATTTCCTCCTAGTTTTTCCATTTGATACGGAAAGAAGAAAACGGTATACCCTTGGCACTATTACATGTATCCGTCGCCAACATAATCAGTTATTACAAAAATGTGAAGGTAATTAAACATGTTACGATAATGTTTTAAAACATACCTGTCCGTTTAATGTATCATAAATATTGTAATACTATTAAGATAGCATAACATTTGTCCCACCCGTACTTGTGAACCCGTTCTAAAATATCTATATGAAATAATGAAAAAGGAAATTGCAATGAAACGAAAACATAAATACACTTATCTAATGTACGTACCAGCCAGTCTACCGCCTCCGTGGTGTAGTGGTTAGAGCGTCCGCCCGGAGAGCTGAAGGTCGTGGGTTCGATCCCCGACCGCATCATACCAAAAGACGTTAAAATATGGTACTTGTTGGTCCCTGCCTGGCGCTCGACATTAATGGGTACAACAAGGACTGGTTGGCTCGGAGTCAGTATAATGTGTCTGAGTGGGGTATTCATGCTTCACTGCGGCATGTGATCTCAGTGGGCTAGCACTATAAAACCAGCTTAAGTCTGGGCTAGTACAAGCAGCCGCACATACACATACACACGCATGCACGTCGTCATATGAGCGAAATATTCTCAAGTACGACGTTAAACCCAATTTCACCTCACCTCACCTCACCAGCCAGTCTAAGAGCATGGTATTGTTATATTAAAACTCTTTATACAAAATATGTTAAACTACGCGATTTATACAATGATGAGACTGTCCCCGGTTAATTGTTTCCTTTACGCAATACTCTTTACTTTAAAAGTGAGCAATATACAGTCTCGAGTAGCGTGCGTTGGTTTTGGTATTAAACGTTTTTAGTAAAGTAAGATACCAGGATTTTAAATGAGGTGGTATGATGCGCAGAGACCGAAGCTTATGGATATATACGTTACATGAGCTCGGATTTACCCAGTCATACACACGGTCACTAATCTACTTTCCTTGTCCCCCTGAATATAAACCGTATACTAAGGGCAGAGAGTACTTTGATATTCATTGTCCACCATCGCGTACCGTGGTGTACATTACAAGGGCAGGTAACTCTAATCTCTTTGTTTGGCAGGCATTTCTTTGAATTTGAAAAATGACAATGTTGACAAATGTTGGTAGATAATAACTCTTTGGTAGTCTGTAGTAGTGATGTTTCTATACAGATCCTAATATATTGTCAAACAATGAATCTCGTTCGTATGGCGTAGTTTAAGGGCATTTGAATTCAATTATGTTTATTTTGATATATTTCAGCAGAATTTCAACATCATCACATTCAAGATTTGATCAATCTACCACGCATCCCGCGCAACCACCCCACATACGGTCATCCCATCTTAAAAGAAGAAAGAGTGAAAGAGATATATTTCCCTAAATGCAGTCTCTTAATGAAAGGGATAATATCAATTTCAACAAAGCGGACGTAAATCCAGAAATATCTTGTGCAGTTACCGAAGTGCGTCGCAGCTGCCACATAGACACATTGTTCAGGGTTTGCGTGAAACGCAACAATCGAACTATTTGACTTTATTCCGAGTGATATCATTGCAAACCACATGTAAGTATGGATGTATAAGAATAATATCACACGTGATGTCTCCAGCGACATTTCTTGAAAACTTATCCACGATATCTGAAATATTTGGGTCAGATGGAATCGAGTGTGTGTTGTGGTTGATTGGGCGGGGCTGGTCTCGTGGGTACTGTGCACGGTCTGGGTGGGTACAGCTTTTGAAATCTGAAATGGACATGGTGTTAGCGTTTCAAGTATATCTCTATCACTGTATATCACTAAACCGAGTAAATAAATAGCTTCTAATTTAATGTAGGTCAGATCACTGACTCTGTAATGGCGTCACACATAAGTCTTAAAGTATGACCGTATGGTTTGTGTTCATTGACGAGCGAAGTCATTAAAAGTATCTGCTGTTTTTGATTAGCATTCCATAATCATGTTTGTTTTTAATGCCACGCTCAGCAATTTTACAGCCACGCGAGAGCGTACTTGGTTGACCCTGATAGCGTGAATGATGATGATGATGATGATGATGATGATGATGATGATGATGACGACGATTATGCCGATAATGATAACTATAAAGATAAACATGTTAATAATACTGATTATTCATTGTTTGCACTCAAAACTTTCAGCTGAACGGCGGCAGCTTGTATATATTTGAGTTTGGAAAAGTCAATCCATTGATTGATGTAATGAAGATCTATCTACACAATGAAACACACAATGCCATTTAAAAAGTGGTCAAATGTAACATATGTTATATTTGGGATTACACTTTCTTAGTAAAGTACAGATTCTAGTACTTTTGTTGGGTTGAGTCCCATCCGAGATTCGAACCCACACGATCAGAGTCAGGCACCTAACCGCCAGCATACAAAGTCAGACGCCTAGACCGCTCAGCCACCGCGGCTTCCACTCTAGACTGCGGACTTTCTGTACCCCTCTGTGGAAGCCGCGGTGGCTGAGCGGTCCAGGCGTCTAACTTTGTGTGCTGGCGATTAGGTGCCTGACTCTGAGGGTGTGGGTTCGAATCCCGGATGGGACTCAACCCAACAAAAGTACTAGAATCTGTACTTTACTAAGAAAGTGTAATCCCAAATATAACATATGTTACGTTCTACACAAATCATCGAGCCTGACCACCCGACTTCATCTTACGACTTTCTGGTTACCCCCGCCGTGATGTTGCTGGAACATTGCTAAAAGCGGCGTAAAACCAAACTCAGTCAGTCAGTCATCTCACGACAAGCATGGGTTGCAAAAAACAATTACCACCCAGATCAGAAGCAACGATATTAGTAATGTCAACAGTATTGAGCTTGAGACGTGACTCCATCGTCGTTGTCATCATCATCATCGTCGTCGTCGGCGTCGTATCGCCATCGTTGTCTCATTGTCGCTTGTTAAGAATGTCATGAATATAATTAACCATAATATTATTATATGTTTCTATTCCAGAATTCTTGAAATTACATGTAGGAAATTCCACAGTGACTGTTGGACGAGATGGACGAGATTACAACCACGGCTACATTTTACTTAATACCAATACTACTTGCTGTTGTAGTGGTCTATTTACTTACAAAGAGGAGTAACTTGCACGGTCCTTTTGGCTTGCCCATATTGGGACATTTGACCTTTTTGGGCAAAAACCCTCATTTGACCTTCACGAAATGGAGACGTCAGTATGGCGATGTCTATCAAATCCAAATGGGTAGCTGGCCATGCATTGTAGTAAACGGGGTGGATTTGATAAAACAGGCCCTGACACAAGCAGACGACTTTTCAGGTCGACCAGGGTTCTTTTCCGGAAGGAGTATAACTGGCGGGAAAAATATCGCTTTTGGACGATTTGATAATGGTTGGATTAAACACAGAAAGATTGCGAGTGGAGTTTTATATAGCTTCGCTAACGCTCGGAAGAATCCAGTGGAAGAAATAATTAAACAAGAAGTGTGCACAGTTGTTGAAATGTTCAAATCAAAGGGAGACAACTGCTTTGACCCAAAGGAGATCTTATTGTTTGCCGCTGCTAGCGTTATATATCAAATCTGCTACGGTAAAACAGATCATGTTGAATATGACGAGGAGTTTAAATCGTTAATAACATCATCAACAGATTTTAATGACTTTGCAAAAGCAGGCAATCCAGTGGACATGATGCCATGGCTTCGTGTATTTTTTCCCTCGAAAGTAAATAGATTTCTGAATATAGTCGAAAGAATGGAACGAGTCAGAAAACAGAAAGTAGATGAACATAAAAACACTTTTGACGCGAACAATCTCCGCGATGTTACTGACGGACTCATTGCAGCTGCGCAAAGCATACCGGAAGTGGAGATGGCTGAGTTAGGTTTGTCCGACGAACAAATCTTGTCAACACTTGACAATCTCTTTGGAGCCGGCTTTGACACAATTGCTAATACTCTCCATTGGTCACTGTTACTGTTAGCCTCATTTCCTGATGTTCAAGAGAAGTTGTATCAAGAAATATGTGACGTCACCGGAAATACCCGCTCGCCATGTTTGTCTGACAAGAGCACAATGTCATATACGGAAGCCACGTGCTCAGAAATAATGCGGTTTTCTTGCATTTTCCCACTTGCTTTGCCCCACTGCACAACCAAAGATACTCGAATTGGAACTTACAATATTCCAGAGGAAACATTAGTCTTCTTCAATTTCCATTCTTTGACCCATGACAAGGACACTTGGGGTGACCCAGACGCTTTTCGGCCAAGCAGATTTTTGGATGATGACGGTCAAATTGATAAGAATATGATGAGTCGGCTTATTCCGTTTTCTGCCGGACGTCGCCGATGTGTAGCAGAGTTCTTGGCAAGGATGGAATTCTTCCTGCTCCTGACTGGAATCGTGCAGACGTGTCAGATCAAAGTGCCTACAGAGGGCGTGCGTGATTTGGAACCCTTGTTTGAAATGTCCCTCAGACCTAAGCCATTCCAGATCGTGGTGAGAGAACGCGATCTGGGGTTAGAAAAGGACTAAAGAAAAAATGTCAGCCCTTGTTTGATTGAAGCTTTAATAAACTCTGCATTTCCCTGTCAAACACATTTTCTGATGACTGTTGATCCAAAAAATCAGAGACAAATTCTCAGAGACAACTCTAATTGGACCAACAATGGACACCAAAGTAGTTCAGGCACACACCCTTCTAAACTTGCTGATGTAAATTCAATGAATTGTCACTATAATTGTATCAACTAGGCGGGTAAATTGCAGCGACCTTTTCTAAAACTATAACAAATATCTGCTAAATTCCTTCCATTGTACTGTTCTGACTTCTTCATCCCTATCATAACATTGGCAATCTTCATCTTTATCATAACTGAACATCTTCATCCACATCCTCTCTTTGTCACCCTTTTTGTTTGTTACATTTATATTAATTTTGTTTTTAATCTCATTTATGACCTTATCTGTAATACCATTTTCTACTCAGTTGTCATCGATAAAGGTACAAGGCCTAGATTTCCGAAGCTCACGAAGCTTACGACGCTAAGACAGTCGTAAGTGCCATACATTAACATTAACTTACGACTATCTTAGCGCTAAGAGATCTAGAGCTTCGAAAATCTAGGTCCTTGCATGTATAAGTTCCGTCACCTCATACTGAAGGAATAAAAAAGTTGAAATCTAACACTGTCCTGTCTGATACTGCAGCTTCACTGATGACAAAAAGCTATAGAGTCATCGATATATTACAGAGACTGCAATGGCAAACGTTTAATGACATGACGCACTATGTGTACTGTTAACTGCATCCCTCGTGTACCCGTGAAGATCCGGGTTAGAACTGATCTTCAGCAACCCATGCTTGTCGTAAGAGGCTACTATGGGATCAGGTGGTCAGGCTCACCTGATTCAAAGTTATCGTATCCCGAATACGTAGATCGTTGCTCATGATGTTGATCACTGGATTGTCTGGTCCATACTCGGTTATTTACAGACCGACGCGATATAGATGGAATATTGCTGAGTGCAGCGTTAAGCAACACACAAATAAATCATTAAACAAAGCATCCCTAGTGAGTGATTGATGCTTCACGTAGCAATACGCAACATTTCTGCTATGTGACGGAGACAGCTTGGGCTAGGTAAACCAGTGGTCAACTGCATGACAACGGTGTGTGTGTGTGTGTGAGTGTGAGTGTGTGTGCGTGCGCGCGCGCGCGTGCGTGTGTGTGTGTGTGTGTGTGTGTGTGTGTGTGTGTGTGTGTGTGTGTGTGTGTGTGTGTGCGTGCGTGTGTTCGAATCCCGGTTCGTCCCGATTATGCCTCTTTGATTGTCAGAACCGACTTCTGATCGTGGGTTTCCCAAAGTCTGAGATCTGGATTACTTCAGGTTGTCCTAAAGACGGTGACCGAGACACCGAGATATATTCTGCCCAGTGTTTCCGGAAGTAGTGAGTGAGTTTTAGTATTACGTCACTTTTGGCAATATTCCAGCAATACTACTGCGGGGGACACCAGAAATGGGCTTTTCAAATTGTACCCATGTGTGGAATCGAACCCAGGTCTTCGGCGTGAAGAGCGAACGCTTTAACCACTAGGCTACCCCCACCGCCCCTTCCGGAAGTAGGAGGCAAGACATGTTGCAAATTAATGTCTCTGACCTTCACGTAGAAGAATTGTCCAAGTACCAATACGTTCTTGAAAAAAAATATATTTAAAGCATGGAGAGTTACTCGGATATTCCACAACGTAGAGTATGTTTCATATGGCTTGGTGAAACGTGTCTTGATGCATTTCATACATCCTAATGCAGGAATATACAAAATATCGCGAAAACATAAATACTCGGTTAGAAGGGGACCCTAATTCAGCAACTCACGTTGTCCTTGACCCCAGTGTGTAACACGTGCACTTCATCAACTACTCTCCGTCACTACAACATCACTGAAGTGTATATAAATACTGGAGTGCTGAAACAATAGAATGACGCCACAATATAATTCACTTAAAAAAAGCCAGGGTGTGAGGAGCGGTAAAATGGAGCTTAACGTGTTATTCAAGATTATTGCACTCTAATGTCTTTGTTCGGGCTTTGCTGTTTTCATAGTTAGACAAGAAAATATTTTATTAATGTGTTGTACATGTGTACACGGAGTAGGCTACAATGAAATTCAAACCCTCTACCACAGAAATACAATTCAACTTCCGGCCTCTAGGTTATATGAGACACAATCCTAATTTACATTCAAATTAAATTCACTACAATCTCATTTAAGGCATTAAAAACCAGTGTGTGCGTGTGCGTGCGCACTGGTTGTCACCCCCTTCAATTCTTTTAATTGGAGAGGGGGTGAGGGTGTAAGGTCTGTGTGGGGTTGGGGTGGGGAAGGGGGTGACAACAATTATTTTGTCTCAATCAAATCATTTCCCTTCAAACCAACGTGACCCCAGCTGATCCGGGGTTCACTTTGTCATTGTCAGCCGAGTCCAATATTTGTGAGCTACATAGAGACGTTTTCAACGCCTTCATCAACTGAGTGATGCCTTTCTTCCAGATTTAATTATAGTGGAATTTAGGGTAAACAGTAAACATATCTACAAAGACCTCCTGCATGGAGCGCTGCTGATAATACCTATGATTGGATTGATACACTGCTATATGTTTCACAGGTGGATGTTATGATGCTGAAATATTGTTGGATATGACGTTAGTATTGATATCTTAGGATGAGACTCGTGAAGATCCGGGTTAGAACTGATCTTCAGTAACCCATGCTTGTCGTAAATGGCGGGATCGGGTGGTCAGGCTCGCTGACTTGGTTGACACATGTCATCATATCCCAATTGCGTAGGTTAATGTTCATGTTCGCCGTATAGCAGAAATATTGCTGAGTGCGACGTAAACAACAAGAAACAAAAACATCAAACCAACGTGAAGTGAAGGTAGCGACAGCAACACACACTGCAACATACATGAAATGCACATTGCAATGTACAACGTAATAAATACATGTCAGTGGCAATGAATCCGTGGCCAGTGTACTGTTATACCTGCCAGAAATAGACATCCGTTAGCCACATGTGTTGCTGTAAATATATATGCCGTGATCACGAGCTGGGAATCAGTTAAAGATGTGGAGTAACGAGCGCCTCACCCCCCTCACCCCACACATTCACTGTGGTCGTACCGCCGTAACACCCCCTGACACAAGAAACAACCCCACAGGTGAAAATAACATGGGTGGTGGAAACAGGCGAGCGTCCGCATTGATTCCAATTCATGCTCCAATGTCCTGAGGTTAATACGGGTTAGAACGAATCTTCACTATCTGTCGTAAGCAACAGCTTAATGACAAGGGCCCACATGCACAAAGCGATCTTAGCGTTACGACCATCTTAAGTCTATGTTTGAGTATGAGAATTACGATCGTCTTACGCTACGATCGCTTTGTGCAGGTGGATCATGGGTTCTGTTGTACAAAAGATCTTAGCGTTAAGATGATCGTAACTCCAATACCTTAACATAGACTTACGACAGTTTTAGTACTTAAGTTGTTTTGTACAACGGCACGTAGGGCCCAATTGCACAAAGCCATCTTAAGTGAGTGAGTGAGTTTAGTTTTACGCCGCACTCAGCAATATATGGCGGCGCTCTGTAAATAATCGAGTCTGGACCAAACAACCCAGTTATCAACATCATGAGCATCGATCTGCGCAATTGTGTCAACCAAGTCAGCGAGCCTGACCACCCGATCCCGTTAGTCGCCTCTTACGACAAGCATGGGTTGCTGAAGGCCAATTCTAACCCGGACCTTCACGGGTAGCCATCTTAAGGCGGTTAGCCCCGTTGCACACACGAATTAAGCTCTATGATTATCGTAAGCCTACGTTAAAGTTACGATCGCCTTAACGCTGAGATAAAGTTATGCAATCATTTTGAATGCGTGTCAATGTGCCCCGCCGGCAATGGGTTGTTGCTCATTATATCAACCCCTTGTTTTGTCAGCTTCAGCCACGAATGTGTCTTGTACCTGCGTATTTGTTAGGAACTGTTTTCAAATTCAAAGACACACCCGAAATTCTTATAGCAGTGTCTGGTTTCACTTCGACATTGAAGACTGGTCTTAGAATTGATCTCCACGAACAAACGGAATCGGGTGGTCTGACTTCGTTGCATGTAATCGGTCACCATCTGCGTTGATCAATGCTCGTGATGTCAACCACTGGTTTATCTGGTCCAAACTAGTATATTTTACAGACAGTCGTCATATAGCTTGACTATTGCTCTGACCCGTGAAGGTCAGGGTTAGAATGAACCTTCAGTAACCCATGCTTGTAAGAAGCGACTAAAGGGATCGGGTGGTCAGATTCGCTGACTTGGTTGACACGTCATCGGTTCCCAATTGCGTAGATCGATGCTCATGCTGTTGATCACTGGATTGTCTAGTCCAGACTCGATTATTTACAGAGCGCCGCCATATAGCTGGAATATTGCTGAGTGCGGCGTAAAACTAAACTCACTCACTCACGATTGCTGTGTGTGACGTTAAACAACGAATAAAGAAATCATTCGAGAATAATTCCTCTCCAAACATTTTCCTTTTCAGTGAATACTCCAGTGAACTTACTTCAGTTCCCCTGCCCAGTTTTATCGAGTGTTTTAAAAACCTTTCACGTGTAATTGTCCCATCATTTTCAAAGATACGTTGCAGGTAATACTGTGTGTTACATACCGCGGCAAATAAACAGACATACCTTCACACCGGTCTCGACAAGCCAGGTGCTCGACTAGTGGTTGATAGTATGAACAGCGACTGGGTATCTTGGACAATTAACTCGAAGGTTTTATATAGTCTATATCAGTAAGAAGCATTTCATTCCCAGAGACGTATATTACAAAATCATGGAAGATTTGAAGTCCACAAGAGCTGCAGAAGTTGCCCACCAGCTGATGGACATATCTCTGATGTTAGGAGCACCTGTCATACTGCAGTCGGATAACGGCAGTGAGTTCACCTCTCATGTCAGTACAGAATTAAAGAGCGTCTGGCCATCTGTCAAGCTCGTCCATGGAAAGTCACGTCATCCACAGAGCCAGGGATCCGTATAGAGAGCCAATGGAGACATCAGAGATATGTCGGCTCAATTTGATTTTTGTCCTCAGCGTCTACTCTCGTCGAATGATGTGAAAATGGACAATGAAGTGTCACTCCGGGCTGCTGTGATTTCCGAGTCGAATTGTGGTGGTCAGGGTTTCCAGAAATGTAAATCGATACGTTGTAAATGTTTTAAAGTGCTACTGAAGTGTAATAGCCAGTGTAATAACAGTCTATCTTGTCTCAACAAATGAAGCTTTAGCCGCATATACTCTGTACTCGCATTATAAATTTGGTGTTTTCTATTTCAATAAAGGCTGGCAGGGGTTTCATGAAATCCCTGAGCCAATATTTCAGTAACTTCATGAAATCTTTTGAAATTTTAGGGATTACGTGAAATCCCTGGTTTCACACATTCCCTGTAACATGTATATACATATCATGCGATGTCGTTTAAGAAAAGGAAATCTGCAATGCATAACATCCTGTATAATTCACTAAGTGAGTAAAAATGTCTGATTCTAAGAGGTTTTCAAGAAATGTTTCAAAAGCAAGTCTGTAACCAAAGCTAACTTTGTGAGACGACAGCAGGTGCACATTTTACAGTCTTCTTTTTCCATGCAGTCAATCAAATATATATTTAATTTGAATTTCGAAAAGAAAATGTTTCCACGATAACTCGGTGCGCCTAGTGGCTGCAAGAGTTGTATACTCCCCAGGTAGTTGAGATTGATAATACGACGTGCTGTTGAGATTGACATCCAATGATCGAGCGAAAAAATACCAGCGCCTTGAGCATGCACTAGTTGCGTGGATATGTGCGCTATATGAATATCCTATAATAATAATATTTCTACACATATTTATGTACGTGATCATGAAAGTAGTAGTAAACAAGGAAACTACCTTTTTGTCTCAACTAGGTATATGTATCATCATGGTCACACCAATATATCAAATCTGACATTTCTGCAGAGGCTTACCGTCTCTCTTTAACGTGAAGACGCCACCACTCTCAGAAACTAATTCGCTATAAATCATAATTATTATAACGCAGACTTGATAATATCTGAACTTTATTTTTAGGGCAGTTGTGCAATCGTCACGGGGACGATCAAGGTTTCATTTCACGATGGTACACTTTTAGAAAGTCTTTCTGACACACCAAGTCGTTATGTAATCATGCAGGAACGCATTTTATCGCAGTATATTTTTGACAGCTTCTCGGAATGATAAGCGGAAACAACCATCTATGTGTCATTTTTCCAGAGCATCCAAAACGTATTCCACACATATAAGGGCTTGTACAACCATTGCCTGCAGGATGAAGTTCTTGACAGGTGTTCGGTGCGAACACCAACTGCAGCTGTGCATCAGCATGTGTCACTTTGACCACAGATTTTCAACTTCAAAAATGAATTATATCCTTGTAGTTTACTTCGGTCTTCGCGCGTTTGCATTTAGAGTGAGTGAGTGAGTTTGCTTTTATGCCGCTTTTAGCAATATTCCAGCAATATCACGGCGAGGGACACCAGAAATGAGCTTCACACATTGTACCTATGTGGGGAATCGAACCTGGGTCTTCGGCGTGACGAGCGAACGCTTTAACCATCAGGCTACCCCACCGCCCCGTTTGCATTTAGAGCTCTTGCAAAAATGTTACAATCACTGACACATTCATCATTGTTTAAGTCCCCAAACCAAATCGTCACATATACTGCGTAGCAAGGGAAAATATAAACTTGAAAATTGTATTTCGTAAAAACAATGACACACTTTTTCAAAACGTTAAATCACTGCGCTGAAAACGGTCTCCGAAACACTAGAGGTCTAATGCATTACTATGACTTACGTAGCTATTTTATTCCCGGGGCGGTGGGGTAACCCAGTGGTTAAAACGTCACGCCGAAGAAAATGGTTCAATTCCCCAAATGGGTACAGTATGTGAAGACCATTTCTGTTACCCCCGCCGTGATATTGATGGAATATTGCTAAAAGCAGCGTAAAACACAACTCACTCACTCACTTTATTTTTGCTCTGTAATAATATGAATTTAATAACCAGCCCTTACATTCGTAAAGGTGTAAAAGTTAAGAAATAAAGGTCAATGAAATCCCTTGAATCCGGAAATGTATAATTTCAAGGAATCATGGATTGAAAGATGCAAAATATAATCTGGACATTCGGGCGTTTCTACCAGGAGAGTACCAAATTAATTATCTTTAACCCATTGTCCGAGGACATTATTACAGAGCCATTTTTCTTTAAGAACGTTTACTTGTCGTGACATACTGTAAGCCATGAACAACATTCTACGATTCAACAATCTCCGTATGCTGCAGTCTTATAAATATTTCATCCAAAGATATCAGAACTAACGTCATATCCAACAATATTTCAGCTTCATAACACCCATCTGTGAAACATATATCAGTGTATCAATCCACTCATAGGTATTATCAGCAGCGCTCCATGCAGGAGGTCTTTGTAGATATGTTTACTTTTTACCCTCAATTCCACTATAATTAAATCTGGAAGAAAGGTATCACTCAGTTGATGAAGACGTTGAAAACGTCTTTATGTAACTAACAAATATTGGACTCGGTTGACAATGACAAAGTGAACTTATAAAGAGAGCGAATCTTGGATTCGAACCCGGTAAGGTATTCAACCATGCACCATGTATACTGAGCCACTTATGTCACCTTGAGGTTTGGCTCTTAATAGAGTGAGTGTTTGTTGGTATATTCCAGAAGTATTGCGGGGGCACACCAAGAGTGTATTAATAGAAATGAGTATACTGTAGTGCAAATTTCAATGGCCAAAAATATCGCTGTTATTTTGCAATTTTGTGTTTTTATATACCATAGAGATGCGTCAGCTTGTGCTCCACCCATATTTCTACCTGCACGATTTGAAACCCAGCCACACCCAACCGGGTGTCTCAGCTCGTGCAGTAGCGTGGTGCCACATCTAAACGTGGCCCCACCTTCAGTCAAGGGATATAAGAGAAAGGAACTCGGCAGGCATGTGGCACTGTTTTACAACGGCAACTATTTGATCCATACCAACCACGTGGTTCGGCCAGCAGACGTGAATCAGAGAGTAAGCAGACGATTTCCTGTGGTTTCCCGCGCTAACAGGAATCTCATTTTCTTGGCAGCTAGTGAACAGCGAAGATGGTCGCACTGTGGCCAGTGGTTATCCTGGCGGGATTCTTCCCTTTTCTCGAATCCAAGACACTGACAACTCTCGAGAAGACGAATTTGAATAGGTTTTTGGGTGAAGTTGCTCGATGTGCTCGCGTGCCTGCTATTTCGATGTCCTTGGTGAGAGATGGACAAATTGTATACACGAATGGCTTTGGCACTGCCAACAAACAGAGGCAGGTTTCGGCCTCTTCCAAGACAGTGTTCTGCCTAGGAGACATCACCCAGACATTCACTGCAACACTTTTGGCAAAGCTGCTCGATGAACATCAAAAGTAAGTACAGACGAACCCCGTTATCTCGAATATACCCTCGAAGCTATGATCCTCAAATTAATTAAAATGATTAAAATTAATAATGGTCTGATTATAGACCAGGGTTATATCAGGTATTGTACTGTCTTTTATTGTCATTGTGTTGTATTGTAGAAACAGCGTTTTTCAAATCACGTATATAAATTATGTTATTCAACTGCATGTCATTCCGTTGCATATCACCCTTTAGTCTAGAAGATACAGCGCCACGTCATACCAAAAAACGTTAAAATGGTACTTGTTACTCGCCTGGCACGCGAAATTAAATGGAAACAAGATAGTATCTATGCGGGCTAGAGCTAATAATACAGCATTGGTCCAGTACACACGCACGCACACACGCACACATGCACACACACGCACGAATATGCAATAATTTTGCACGCAACTGTGAATTTACAAACACCATGTCACCACACCTCACCTCACCTTATCTCACCTCACCTTACCTTACCTTACCTTACCTCACCTCACCCATCCCATTCCCACCTCACCTCACCTCACCTCACCCATCCCTCCTCACCTCACCTCACCTCACCTCACTCGCAAAGACGTCTTTACCATAAATGCCCATGTGGAACCACCTGAAATTGCAAGTGACCTGTTTCTCCCAACAGCTCTTGTTATTCTGGACATATAGTAGATGTATAGTAGTTGCTCACCTTACATAAAGAAATACTTGATTTTGATGCTCAATTACTTTTTGATATAATTTTATTTCATGTGCATTTGTGTACAACTAGACAAAAATATCCCTCCCGGTCAACAGGCGTTTGCCAAAATCTCCTTGCAGCGTCATGGCTTCGCTTAACTTGTATTAACATTGATTTTGATGTTCGTGTCGTCTGAAGTTCACTTTGCAATATGGCGACAAGCAACGCTTGTCATTCAATCCCATGCTTCAAGTGTTGGTAAATAATAAACATGGCGGTATGATAAATTCGTTAGAGGCTTACCCCTTACCACAGTTGATGTACCATGTGTGGCCATGTTCCAAGAACCGACATCGACTGATGACATTCCAGCAACAGTACTGGGTGTTCCAGTAGACTACGTTACCGCCGTTTGCCGTGCAGAGTTGCGCCCCCTTGAAAATAACTTCATTTGCTGGTCGGGTTTGAACCCCTAATGAACTCATGGGTTTTACCAAATTTTAAACGTTTCTAATGTCCGTTACTATGTTCTAATACAATTTCAAATTGATAACTCTGTCTTTCGAATACAAATCATAAAATTTATGGGATGAGTATAGGCTGGTAAACTCTGTGTAGTTTTGACAAATTATGCTGACCTAGAAGTAAATATCTACATTATTCAGACTTTGGAATGATTTTCCAAAACACATGTCCATAACGGGGCCCATCTGGCGAAACACGAACAGTGCAATATGGCGCCCAAATGCAACAGCCAAAGTCGACATTCTGCTGGATCCATATCAGCATGAAGCAAAACAGATGTAGAAAATAAGTCAAAGTCATCATGTCCAAAACGTTTGTAAAGTGAAACGAAAACATTGCGAGTTCAGTTTTATATTTTAAACATTTGAATAAAAGCGATAAAACCCTTCCCTCTAATTACGACCACGAGAGTTTTACCGAAATGGGTACCAGTCAGTGAAACACATCCCCTGTAAACAATAAATACGTCTTTCGTCACTGAATCGGGAACAAACATCCCTTGCTTAAATATTTGATGAACCGTTATTTTAAAATCTGAACATGTAAATAAAAGGTACATTCATATAGCACGAGACGCATCTGTCAAAAGTAGAGTATGACTGTCGACCGAGTCGACACTATCAATACATCATAAGCGTGGGTTTATGAATTACGATCAAATAATGATTTTACTAATACCACGTGAGGTGTAGACCGACACTCGGAATGAATAATACTGATTTAAACCTTTTAATATTATTGTTCTTTCTTTGTTTCTTCTTTTAGTTATATTTTGGGGTTTATTTACTTAATTACTTTAGTTAAAATGTAATGACTCGCCGACTGAGAAGACCCGAACTCGGTCATCCGCTGAAACATCCAGTGCCTTATTGAAATGTGATATGTTATTACGTTTAATGTTTTAGCACCTGTGAAGCGAGCTTTTTGTGTCATGAAGTCGAATAATCGACATAATTGTATATAGGATATATCGAATTCTAAGCATATGGCATTGTTCACGTGAATCTCGAGTATAAAGACGGTTCTTACTTATGCTGAATTTGACTGGATGTAAAACTGGTGTTTTGCCTCTCAGTCGCTATGTGGTTGCGCTAACACCGTTTTGACTGAAGAGGATTCACCTATCGAACACTTACACATCATTGACATGAATGTTTTGTTCAGCTGAAGTTAAGCTAAGGCCCCAGGCACACTGAGTGAGGTAACGTATCAGGAAGGGTGTGGACTTACACTTTTTCATTCACTTCTTTAAGTGAAACATCCATCGCAGCATCGTGTCTTATTTTGTATAATATCACCTTTTACAATGAATTTATATCTAATTGACCTTTTCTTGACACGAGATTCACCTGTTAAAACCCATCAACAATATCTATACTTGCTAAAGGTTATTAAAATATTTTGCTATCACATAAAAATATTTCCAAAGAAAGAAAACCTGTAGTCTCTCGTACAGACCCTGAAGCAAATATATCCAAGAAAGCCCACACAAGTCTAGAAAATGTGGCAAGTCTAGATTTCCTCTGAAAATGAAGAAGGTCTCAGGGCTCCTTTTCATTATATTTTATATTTTTTTACTATGAACTTTTTTCAGTAAAATATGTTCATTTCAGAGACGAGTTGTTAGTCTAGAAAACCTGGTACGTCATAAAAAACGGCGGGCACTTAGTGTATAGGCATCTAAGAACACAAATTTTATATCTCATGTGCAACATGTGTTCCTTAAGGCCATTTAATGTATTCATTGCACATATATTCGTTTCATATCCGTTGATAAACTCTGCAGGTACACAGACAGAATATACGACTGGTTGCATTCCTCATATCAGTACCTTTGATCTTTAATTGATAAATGATATTTAGCTTAGATATGTTTTTCGTGCTTGGAGGTGAGAGAAAGAAGGGTATTGCGGTCGCGCACCTGCTGCCAGTGACCTCTGGCCTTTCATTGGTATCGCTTCGTAGGCATGTATTGATATAACCTGTTTAGATCTCTATCAGAGTCGGCAGGAAGCCCGATCTATTTGATGACCATAGCATCTTGCTGAATGGACGATGTGGCCAAAATAGGTTTTCCTTAGCATAGAAAAACAATGCAAAAATGAAATCGGTCTAGTGCGATGTAATCCATAAAATATTTGTTAATATACTGGACAAAATAAGTTAGGGATATTGGTATTTTTATGATTGATATTTTATCAGTGTGTCAATGAATAAATAGATCATAATTCATAATTTCAAAATTTACGTATATCCCTAACTCTTTTTGTCCAGTATATTAGAGAGGATGCGAATGCAATGTGTTCTCTGTATGACACAATCTCCGATATATAAGTGGTTATAGACAGGTTTGACTATGTCATAACTATTCACTTAATAAATTAAAAATATAAAAGAAAGTGGAGTAAATCTTGGCTATAACGAACCCCAAAGGGACCATTCATTTTTGTTTATTATAACAATAGTTCGCTATAAGAATTTCCATTAGAAACAGAGAGTGGTCGGGACAGACACAAACAGTTCGTTTTCAACGTATTCGTTATAAACATAGTTTACTATATACAAATTTTTTGACAGTGGTTAATAATGACATATTGTGTGTTGGTGATCTAGTAGCATGTTGATAACGTTTGTACGTTTTTGGTAAAATCCCATTTTCAAGTGTATACTTTCTCCTGAATGCGATATGCTTTTTGAAGTCATAAAAAATATCGTCAATTAATAATGTTGGTTTGTAATATATCTATAGGCGTCAATACATTTCTTATATTCAGCTCTGTTGTTCACTCACATTATATCTGTCTCTTAAATATAGCGCCGCTGTTGAAGAGGTACTTAATCGACTTTTTCTCCATTAAAACATATGTTAAAAAACTCACATCTGAACATGCTCTCGGCAGATAAACGGTTATATCACACCTCCCTACTTTACGAGGGAGGCAGGTTATTATTTGTTTATTGGTAACCATGACAATTTAGGTGTATTCCACATGGAGGTGGTTGAGACATATCATCTTGCCAACAATGCGTCAGTGTGTTATTGTGATAACAACTTCGTGTTGGGTAAGACACTCCGACCTTTCACGATTCTCTTATAGACCTGGTGTTGTCACATTCTTCCCCTGGACCATCTTGGGGAGGGGAGGGTGTACGCTGGCGAGAGGATGAAGGTGTGTAGTGATGGAATAATGGTAGTCTGGCTCACATAGCTGAACCATATTAATTTCCATTTCGCCAGCCCTTTCCGTAATGCAAAAGCTCTGAATGAAGAAGGTCTAGGTTCCCTTGGGGTTAGGAATGTCCAATCTGAGCTACTTTATTGTTCAAATAGTTATTTGTTCTCATCAACATACTTCCTGAGATTAAGGGTTATTCTGCTGATGTGATGTGATGTGATGTGTGTGTGTGTGTGTGTGTGTGTGTGCGTGCGTGCGTGCGTGCGTGCGTGCGTGTGTGGTATTTTGTGTGAATTGTGTGTTTGTCGGTGCTGGTGTATGTGTAGCTCTGAGTGTATGTGTGAGTGTGAATATGTGTGTTAAGTGTGCATGTGTGTGTTGAAATGTACATTGACATATAACAAGTATAATTGCATCATGAAGCAGAATCTGTATTTCAATGTTAATATGCAACATGTATTTGATAATAAGTTAAGCACATCCAGTAGAAGTAAAGCATAAAGAGTTTCAAAATAAATGTACTTGAGCAAGATTGTGCGAGAATGTAGTGTCAATTTTGGCTTGATAACCTTTAGATTTTGTCAATGTCAGAATGTGTGTGTGTGTA